TGAAAGGAAAAGGCACATACTATCCAACTCAATTGGTCAGTAAGTGGTTGAGAAGAAAGGTGCCCATACAATCATACCATGTTAGTATTGTTTTGGAGCTGGCATGTATATTTAGAATATACTGAAATGAGTTTTTTATTCTGGGGTCTGATACTGGAAAGTCTATTCAGTGATAGTTATTGTGGAAAAATGGAATGTGGATATATTTCAATGTGGATTCTTTTATCTCTTTTTGGATCACTTTGGATGAAGAAATTACCATTGGCTTTAGTGCTTTTTCCTCATGGTGGTAATAATTTTTCTTGCTGGCTGTGTTCTTTAGGTATAGTATTTTAAATTATCATTTTTATTTTTACTTTCACCCTTAAACTATTTAAAATGAAGGGCATGGTTTGTAAAAAAAAAATTGAAACAATATAAATATCTTGTCAAAGGCAGGCAGGTACAAGTGTCCAATGCCTAATTAAGCTCCCAGCTATTTAATTATTTATTCCTTTCTCTAATGTCTCCATCCTACTGACCCAGCCTAATGGTTTGATGAGTAAATATGTTTTGTTCAGATTTTTGATGGGAATTCCTGATTGTGTGTGTTCTTGCTGCCAAAAATGACTCCCTTGTTTTAAAAACCTGGAAATGAACATAGTTTAAAAATTTATAGACACTTGTCACTTGGACCATAGACTCAGTGACTCATGTTTCCAGTCCTGCTGGACAATTCCCCAGTTTAAACAAATTGCCAGTAAATCATATTTCTTTTGATTTTTTTTTTTCTGGTACTGAGTAAGTGCTTTCCTTTGTAGAGTTCAAAGGGCTCTGCAAACATTATTTAATTAATTTCTGAGAAATAAATGGCAAATGTTATCTGGTAAAACACCAGGAAACAAAATGACTTGTCATAATGGCCTAGTGAATCAATAGAATGACTGGTAATAGAATCTAGTTTTCTCAAATATGAATACTAGGAAGATTGTGTTGAAGTCTTTCCAGAGCAAAGATAGGAAGATTATCCTGAACTACTATCTCTTTCTCATTTTTATGCCTTTAGAAGGCTTAAATCAAGTGGCTGGAATTTCTTGTATATATCTTTATATATATAATCTATATATACAACTATATATATATCTTTATATATCTATATCTTTATATATCTTTATATATATGTGTGTGTATATATATGTACATATATATATATATTATGTATATATATATATACACACACACACATTATATATACTTTTAACTAGTCTGTTATGTAGTCCTAAAGATAAATTGTTGGAAAAGATGGTGCTGGGAATGGAGCAAGCAACAGGGAGAAGGAAGCAGAAAGAAACCACATAATTTATATGACTGAAGTGATCACAGATTTAGACCTGGAAGGGACCTTAGAGATCAGCAGATCCAACTCCCTTATTTTATAGGTGAGGAAACTGGGGCCCAGAGCTAATTTAAGTGATTTGCTAAAGGTCAGAAAAGAAGTAAATGGCAGATACAGGATTCAAACCCAAGTTCTGTGTTTCTGAATCTTTCTATTGTAATGCACTAATCAGCTGAACAGTCACAGTGGTATAACGTTATGATGGGGTTTGGCTACAATATATGAACAATATTATTGTAGAAGAGCCTTGGTAAGGATAGCATTATGTGTACTCTCCAGTGGTATGCTAGTAAACATTTAATAATTATCTCTCTGAAAAATACAGGAACACTTTTAACTTTAATCTATATTTTAAACATTTTTTTCTTATTGCTTTTAAAAGTCTAGACAATTGACCAAAAAAAAAATCAAGCCCTGATTGGAAACTTTGATGATATCAGAGGTGTAAATGCTCACACTGAAAATTTTAATAATTGACTTTCTCAGACCAGTTAGAACTGGTTTCAGCATACCTTTGAATAACTGTTGATTATTTGAAAAATGTATATCCCCTACAAATTAGATTTTTCTCATTATATATCTCTAAATGAACTTCTTTCTTGCCCCAGATTTTCTTTTTTTAGTAGTATTTTATTTTTTCCAATTACATGTAAAGATAGTTTTCAACATTCCTTTTTATAAGATTTTGAGCTCCAAATTTTTCTCCTTCCCTCCCTCCCCTCCGTTCTCCCCAAGACAGCAAACTAATATAGTTTATACATATACAATAATATTAAGCATATTTCCACATTAGTCATGTTGTGAAAGAAGAATCAGAACAAAAGGGGTGAAACATGACAAAAAAAATTAAAAAATAAAACAAAAAAGTGAAAATAGTATGATTTGATCTGCATTCAGACTCCATAGTTCTTTCTCTGTATGTGGATAGCATTTTCCATCATGAGTCTTTTAGAATTGTCTTGGATCATTGTCTTGCTGAGAAGAGCTAAATCAATCATAGTTGATCATCACACAGTGTTGCTGTTATTGTTTACAAAGTTTTCCTGGTTTTGCTCACTTCACTCAGCATCAGTTTGTGGAAGTCTTCCCAGGTTTTCCTGAAATACACCTGCTTATCATTTCTTACAACATAATAGTATTCCATTACATTCACACAGCACAACTTGTTCAGTCGTTCCCTAGTTAATGGGCATCCCCTCAATTTCCAATTCTTTGCCACCATAAAAAGAGCTGCTATGTAGATTTTTATGTTTAAGATCCTTTTCCCTTTTTTTGGATCTCTTTGGGATGTCAAACTAGTAGTAGTATTGCTGGATCAAAGGGTATTTCCCTAGATTTTCTAAACAATTGTAGGAGAACAGAAATATTTTACTTCAAGGTGTGTGCGTGTGTGTGTGTGTGTGTGTGTGTGTGTGTGTGTATGTGTATGTGTATGTGTATATAGTGAGGAATATGAAGGTTGCTAGCTCCACAATGCAATGATTTTGTGGTTGGGGGAAAAGGGATAAAGATCATTTGTGTCACCAGCTTCCTTTTAGTCTTGTTTCAGAGATAATTTACATCAGTAGTGTCAAACTCAAATAAAAAAATAACTACTAAACCATTCACAAAGAGTCCTGCATATTGAGTTAGAAAACCACATATTAACGTTATTTATGTTCTATTAAATGTTTATTTATTTTGTCAAATATTTCCCAATTAACATTTGATCTTGTGGCACATTCTGGAATGTCACTGGCCTCTGCTTGTTTGACACCTCTGATTTACAGGGACTCAGGTTAGACCAGGAGCATAATGGAAGTTGATAGGAATCTTCTCATATTTTATGCGTTTTCCCCCTAGGTCCTTTATTGTTTTACTTAAGTGGAAGATTGGGATGTAATGCATAGATACAAGCTGGAAAACTATCACATTAAGGGGATACAAGTACCCCATGTTTGTTTTTTTTCAATGAGTATTTATCAACCACTATACTTGATCTAGGAATCTAGGAATTATGACAAGCATTTAGGAATAAAAGACAAAAACTGGATAGTCGCTGCCCTCAAAGAGCTTACATTTCTCTGGGAGGAAACAACATATGCGTAGATAAGTCAATACAAAATATATACAAAGTATATACAAGTTTCCAGGAATGGCAATAACAGTAGCAACTGGGGAAATTAATAAAAAGGCCTATTGTTAAAAAGTGGCATTTGAGTAAAGCTGAGAGGTGTGAAAATGTCTGATTTGGGGAAGCCTGACCTCCTGGAATTTCTGGCCTTCCCATTCTATTCTTCACCACCCTCATTTGCTTCTGAAGGGCACATCCAAATGGGAACTTTAGATATTTGGGGGCCATGGTGGCATTGTCAGTGTATGATTTCAAAATGTGGCCCTGATGACTGTGGGTACTCATTCCTCTCTGCTCTTAGGTGGAATAGAGCAGGAAGCATTGCTTGATTTTTTTCTACATGTGGTGTCTGGTGTAGCATAGCATAAGAACAGTGGACTCAGAGTCAGAGGACCTGGGTTCAAGTCCTGACTCTTGCTACCTACATGACCTTCAACAGGCCATTTACCCCATTCTAGGCCACATGAGTTTCCTCATTTGTAAAATGAGATGTCAGACTATCATCAAGTTCCCTTCTAGCTGTCTTTGGCAATTCCATGCTGGATGAATCTAACTTAGAGCATTAGATTTCTTTTCTCTTTTGCTTATGTTCCATTTTCATGCTCTCCTTCCTCCCTTTCCAGGGTTTAAAAAATGAAATTGTCTGTGGTTTTGTAGCTTAGACATATTTCTCTGCTCATGGGCAATATGATGTTATTACTCTAACACTGCTGGCATTGCTTCCTAGCTTTCTGCAGGCAACTACCTGTCCTAAACTTATTGGAAGGCAAGACATGTCATGGCTCACTTTTCATTATGTGCCGTATACAAGGGCACCATCTGATCAAGAGTACATATTGAATCCCAGCCTTAGGAACCAGTTTCCTGAAGGGATAAGGGAGAACACAGCAGATTTATTTGAAAGAGAAAGCATTCTTGGAATTTGGTTTGCCAATGAGTACTTACTCATAGACAGTGTCTAACTTCTTTTTAGCTATTTCAGAGACTTGTAGTTCCTTGGTTTCTTTTTAAAAATATATATATTTTTTAGTTAATAAGAATCTGTTTTCTTTTTGTCCAATCACCACCCTTATTAAGGTGAAAAAATCCCCCAAAACCCTCATAACAAATATTCATAGTCAAGCAAAACAAATTCTGTCTTGGTCACGACCAAGATATGTCTCATTCTACACTCTAAGTCCACTTCCTTTTGGTTAAGAGGTGAGTAGCATGCTTTATCATTGGTCCTAATCATTGCATTGATCAGAGTCTTCAAGTCTTTCAAAAGTCTGAGTTTCTAGAATTAAAGGAGCTATTAGGAACTTCTTAGGTAACAATTTCATAGCTCACAAAGATTGAACTGTGTTTCTTCTAGGCTAGAAATCTACAATTGTCAAAATTGTCCTAGGAAAAGAGATAATTTCTTTGGTACCTTCTTAAAAACCTTTATGTGGATACTATGGATATAGACTATTCCAATGAAATATTTTCATTCTTGATTTAAAAAAATTCCTGTGTTTGTTTTTAAAACAGGTATAAATCCTACACCATGGGTAATTTACTGGACCTGGTCTGAAAGGAGTGACCAGTGCCACTGGATTTATTGACCCCTAGCCCCTGGCTTTTCACAATGAATGGAAGGTCATGCAGCATGAATCTCCACCGTACATCAGGCACTCCACAGGGACCAGGGATGATCAGTGGTCAGCACATCCCCCCTGTCAGAGTTCCATCAGGGACATCTTGCTCATCATCCAATGGCAGCACCCCCAGCCCTGCTGTTGGAAGCCTCCACCTCAAGCTGCCCTTAGGAGGAGGGGTAGCTCCTCAGAGCAACTCAGCTGATAGCCCCATCCACCTTCCAGCACTGAGCCCCAGGAGACAAGTGGTTACCAATGGGAAGCCTCTATTCCAGGTTCCTCAGGGGCCAGGGATGCCAATGCCACATTCTTTGAAGCCAAAACAGCAGGACTTTGGAAACGCCTTTCCTACTAATCCAGGGAAAGGTAAGATTATGTTTCCATATTTAAAAATTTAAAATTGAAATTGTTTTTGTTTTCCAATCCAAATAATCCTTATCTTTCTCCAAAGACCTTGGTAAAAATCATAATACAACATGAGGGTCACAGATGGCTTTCTGATAATGATATACAACTTGTTTTATTGTTGTGTGAAGTTTTATTGTGTGTGTGTGTGTGTGTGTGTGTGTGTGTGTGTGTGAGAGAGAGAGAGAGAGAGAGAGAGAAAGAGAGAGAGAGAGAGAGAGAGACAGATTTTGCCACTACACAAATGGCAAAATTTGAATTTAGTTTGGCCCTGGATTATGTTGATTTTACCAAACAGCACCATCATCTCTAACCGCTGACTATCCATATGAAAGTTGTACAAATAGGAGGAAAGAGTCATAGGATATTTGAGATTAAGGCAGGAAAATTAGGAACAAGGTAGGACAAGGGTAGGGAGTGGTCACTGCAGTACTAGCATGACCTTGGTTTATGGGATGAATTTTGCAATGTTTACACCTTTTGGTATCAGATATCTGAAACCAGGGTAATTGGTTTTAGTGCTCACAAAAGTCAGTTGGGAGCTGGGGGATTGAGAGAGGAATACAATATGAAGAGAGAAATGCTGTAGAGAGGAAGAAGAAAGGACCTAGAGAGCAACCAGTTGCTTAGTTTAATTGCAGGCATTTTATTTGAGTAGAGTTGTGTTGTTATGTCAAAGTGATAGGAAGAACATTATTAAGAGTAGGAATGCAGTTACGATATAGTTGTTGACTTCAGAGAATTGAAGTGGGAATTGTATGGCCTAATATTTCAAGGAGTGGTGAAAATAGGGAACTATAAAATTTCATTAATTCAAAATCTGCAGAGCTGGAAAATGCATTTTCAATGAAACAGATATGAATATCATTATTAAAGAACAATAGGACATATGGTGAGGGAAAAGGGGAATAGGGATTGCTTTGAATTACACACAGTTTTGATAAACTGATGTTGACTTAATAAGGTTTTACTGCATGTGGCATTGCTCATTGTTAATAGATAAAAACAGAAAGTGTCCCTTGCAAAATAAGTATCTTGCAATGAAAAAGCTCACAATTATATTTTCCTCAAGGTATTTGTAGCATTGGATTGTTTTAAATATTTATATAAAATGTACTTAAAGGAGCAAACTCAACATTGATTTACCAAGCACCTGCACAAATAGCCACACACTCCCTTAATTATGGGGAGTAATGATTGATATCAGCAAGTGACGAACACATCTGACTGCAGTTGTTTTAATATCTATATATTCCTCTGTGGAAGGCAGTATTTTTTTTCTTAAAGGAGCCTTGTGGGCTGATTAAAAAAACAAAAACAAAAACAAAACAATTCTGTGCAAGGCTGTGAGATCTGACCTTTCCCTGTTCAGCTAAAAGACAAGCAATCATCTTCAATACTGACATTTGAAATAAGTGTAAGAACAGGTTTTCCAGGGGCTGCTTCCTATTTGTATTGCTACCATGACAGACTTGGCACATTGGCAGTTTAGGAAGTAAAGTCTCTTTAGCATAAAACACAAATTTGAACTGTGAGGGACTGAGACCCAATGAACTCTTTCTATCATGCATGGCTAGTGAACTGCAGTCTGCAGTGTTAACTTTTGTATGGGGAGAGTTGGTAAGGAGTATACAGCCTGGTTTCAAAGGTGTATGCCCAATAAAAATGGAAGGGACTACAGAAACCATCTTGTTTCACCCTTTCATTTTACAGAAAAGGAAACTGAGGCCCAAGTGGAAAATAATTTTCTAAAGTTACATAGCCAGTTAGTGGCAGGGTTAGAATAAAAATTCTTTAAAAAAAGGGGGGGAGAGTGGGAAACCATATCAGTACCTTGTATATATGTAGTGTATTTTCAATAAATGTTTACTGATTTGAATTTATGGTGAGTGGGATTTGTCCCGTAGAAGGACCATAAATTGTTTGATAGTATATATGTAAACAGAAGGTTTGTAAACTCCTAAAAGATTCTCCAGTGAGACATACTTAGAAAATACGCACTTCATCATAACATTTTTCATTTTAAGATGGATATTCATCTTGTTACAACACATTCTTGCTCTATCTTCCATTTAAGAAAGGCAGTATATCACTACATGCCTCAATGAAATCCAAGGCATTGTAATTGCTATTTTAAAAATAAAATTTCCCCCATGGATTTGGAGCTATATGATAGTTATATTTTATCCCCCGTTTTTTCCTACATACATTAAATTATTAGAATTTGTCTTTCAAAAAGAACACTAAATTCTGCAACCTTTTCTATTTTTAATGTGCTGAAATAAGTACTATTATATATGTGTATATATGTATATATATATATACACACACATACACACACACACACACACATACATACATACATACATACTTTGACCCAATCAGTGCATAAGGAATAATTTAAAAATTTGGAAAGCATTCATCTAACCAGGATATTACAGTACTGTGTAAGGGTTTATAGTGTGATCAATGGTGGCATTCTCTACCTACCTCCCAATTGCTTCATATATAAATGGTTAAAATAATTAAGCAGATGAGTGACTATATGTAAGACTGCTGGAAAATCAATTTTGTGCTTGCCATGTTATATACTTTTAATATAAATATTTAAAGATTTAAGACATCTCAGTGTCCTGACAACCTTGAAGACTGTATAATTGAGAGGGTTTTTTCACTTTAAAATACTTTTTACTTCACTGCTTTTCTTGTAGGCAAAGGGAATTACTCATTAGCATTTGTAAGCTGTTCATTATTGTTAGAAAAAATTGGAATGACATCAACATGGGACATTAAGCCAATTTAGACCTCTTTTCCTATTTAATACCAGTGGTGTTATTTCTTTTGTACAAAACTAGTTTGGTCAATATAATATACTAAACATCTATGGGATGGAAATAATTGATGTCTTCAGACAATTTTTTTTATTGAAGGTTTCCTTTCTATAGGAAAGGAATTCAGTTGGTTAGAATGCTGAGTTAATGAAACTCCTAGAGAAGAGGTTGTCCCATTATGGGACAGTTGATTTAATTCCCTGACCTGACCACTGTCCTTAGTAACATAATTGCCTTAAGTAACATACACTAGATATTAGTTTCTGGACAGCTAGGTGTCTCGGTGGATGGAGCAGATAGACTCATTTTCTTGAGTTCATATCTGACCTTAGACACTTACTAGCTGTGTGACTGTGCAAATCACTTAGCCCTGTTTGCCTCAGTTTCCTCAGCTATAAAATAAGCTGAAGAAGGAAACAGCAAACCACTTTAGTATCTCTGCCAAGAAATCCCCAAATTGGGGGTGAGGATGTTAGACATGACTGAAAAATGACTGAACAAAAACAACAACACAAAAGTTTAGAATACCATGTGCATTTGAGAAAATATATAGAGCTTAGTGGCCTATAATAATCAGTGAATGTTAGAGTAGGAAAAGGACCTTTGCAGTCATCTAGGGCCAACCTTTTTGTTTAATGGATGAGGAAACCAAGGCCCAGAGAGAAGTGACTTGACCAATTAAGTGGCAGAGTCAGGATTTGAACTTAGCTTGTTTCCCCAGGTAAGGCTTCCACTCCCTGGGAAACACTGATTATGGTGCCCAGCTAGGACAGTTTTGGAGTAAGAAGAGCAGTGAGGGTCTTGTAGCCTCTGGAAGAAGGCAGTTAATATATGAGCTGCCGAAAGTTGTGGCAAAAACACACAGCAACCTACATTTTTCCTCCTTTGCTTTTTAATCATTTATATTTCATTGCACTTCCACTGTGGCTTCCTGCAGATTTAGAGCAAATAAAGTTAATATTCCAGAAAAGGTTCCAGAAATAACCAATCTAGTCAAATACTAAAGGCATTCTTCCAGTGGATGCAGCCAGAGTTTTCACTGAGTCTAGCCAAATAGGTAGGTGAAACACAATGTTTACTTTTGTTTACTATCTTGGCTACACAGGGGCTACTTTTGTGTGATTTATTAATGCTGGGTGTAAATCAAATGCATGATGGATTTCCAAGTATTACTGAATGGCATGCATGATTTGTTTCAATTATAAAAGCTGTTTGTCAGTCTCATAAAATTCCTCCTTAAAAGAATCACAGAATCATAGATTAATAGCTGTAAGACAGCGATCACATAGTCCAACATCCTTATTTTACAGTTAAAGTATTAGGCACTGGGGAAGGTACAAAGTTTAGTGTGTGTGTGTGTGTGTGTGTGTGTGTGTGTGTATGTGTGTGTGTGTTGTGTATGTGTGTGTGTAAGCACGTATGTGTATGTATATGTGTAGGGGGAGATAAAGGCTCAGCTATATATAACTACAATGCACAATAATTCATGCTAAGTGAGTTAGAGAAGTACATTAAACAAAATGTCATGTGAAATCCAAGAAGGAAAGTTGTTACCAACAAGGAGGGAAATGGAGAACAACTTTCTGAAGGAGACAACATTTTGAATTGGATTTTAAAGGATGGTTAGGAATTCATCAAATGAATATGGGAAAGGGAGAACATTCTAGGCACAGGGAATGATTTGTACAAAGGAGTAGAAGTCTGAGTGTGCAGGACATGTTCAGGGAGGGGAGGAAGGAGGACAGATAGTCCACTTTGATTGGAGTATGAAAGGTGCAAGGCAACTGTATGAACCAAGGCAGGTGGTAGGCTTTTAATGCCTGGCAAAGGAGTTTGAACTTCCTACAGTGGACAATAGGGAGCCATTGAAGATTTAATCAGAGGAGTGGAGGCGACCAGATCTTTGTATCAGGAAGCTTAATATGACAGCATGCTTCCTTAAAATGTATATGCTTTCAGAGGGAACACCGGCAGTCTCCCATATGCCTGGAATGCTCTGCCCTCTTACCTCTGCCACTTAGTATCCCTGGCTTCCTTCAAGACTCAGCTTAAGTTCCATCTTTTGTAGGAGGGGCTTTTCCCAGTGCTTCCAGGTACTAATGCCTTTCCCTTTCAACTACCCTTCCTCTA